CTATAGGGACTTAGAGACCCTTTTTAAGACCTAAGGAATAAACTAAAAATCCCCCCTTAAGCTCTTTATAAAAAAGAGGGCCTTACTAGCTTACCTTTATACCTATAGCTATAAGGTATATACTATAACTACTAATATATAGCTTAAAAGAAAGAAAAAGAAAAAGCTTAATCTTAGAGCCTTTATTAGTTACCTTATTAGTTATAATTCTATTAATATCTTTTAGGTCTAGATTCCTCTTTTATAAAAGGTTATATTAACTAAGGATATAATTTTCGATAAATCTAGCTTCTTTAATAAAAAGAGGGATTAATAGCTCCTCTTACTCTTATAACGTTAGCTAATTTAAAAGATCTAAATCCCCCCTTCTTAAGATTATTAAGAAGAGGTCTTAAATAAGGAAGCGGAAGAAGAAACTAACGTTAAAGTAGTAAAGGATAACGCTAACTTTAAAAAAAAGCTACTAGATTAAATAATTTAGATATAAAAAGAGACTATAAGAAAGTAATAGAGCTAGAATACGCTTACCTTCCTATACCTCCTCTTATAAAATAAGAAGAAGATCTAAAAGTAGCTTTTTTAGTTAGTCTTCCTATCTTAACCCTTAAGGGTATAAGAAAGGCACCTCTCTTAAAGGATTACCTAGCTGCTTTTTTATCCTTACTTTAAGAAGTAATAGAAGGTATAGGGCCTAATATAAAAGAAAACTAACCTCTCCCTTATTTTTATTAATTTTCTAACTTTTATTTAACGCTTATAAAAGATAGTTCTAATAGATTATTTATAGTAGGCCGGCTCTTTAAGCTATAGCTATTAATAAGGAAGGTATATAAAAGAGACCTCTTAGACCTATTAGTAAACTAAAAGTAGCTAGAAAAATATACTTTTAAAGACTAGTTTTTCTAAGCTTAGAAAGACTACCTAGCTCTATATAAAGAGATAGGGTCTTTTAAAGAGGTCTTAAAAGAAAACGTAAGAAGAAAATAAGTCCTTAGCTATAAGTAAGTCTTTATCTATAAGACTAATAAATATAGCTTCCTTTAAAAGTATAAGGCCTAGCTAGTTATTTATAAGAACTAGTAAGAAAAAGAGGATCTTCCTATTAAGGTAACTACCTTAGTAGGGATATCTTTTTAGACCCTTATAGCTATAGTAGTAGAATTCGACCTCGATCTTAATTAGATAGATATAGTTAATACTTTTATTAACTACTTACTAAAGGAAGAAAAAGTTATCTATATATACCTTCTACTAAGCTTTTAATAGCTAGGAAAGGTTCTATAGCTTAGGAAAGCTTTATATAGACTATAAAGATTACCCTTACTTTAGTAATAGTATTTAATAAGTTCCTTTAAAGCCTTAGGCCTTAAGAAAGTCCCTTAGGAACTATATATAATATAAAAGGATAAAATTATAGTCTTCTTTTATATCGATAATATTATCTAGGCTTACCTAAAAGAGGAAGAAGTAACTACTAAGGAGGCTATAAAAGGCCTATAATAAAAGTATAAGATAACTAAGATAAGGGAGCTAAAGTAGTTTTAAAGGATATAAATCCTTTAAAATAGATCCTAATAGACTATCTAGCTTACTTAGGACGCTTATATTAATAAGGTCGCTTATAAACTCCTTTTTAATTCCCTTAATAAGAAGCTTCCCTATATACTTATAATAAATAAAGAGCTTTTACTTAATCTATCCTTTTAGGCTAAAGAGTAAAAGAAATACTTATATTAATAAAAGGTCGGCTCCTTACTTTTTCTTAGCTATTTCTACTAAACTAGATATTTCTTTTACGGTCTCTTAACTAGCTAAGTATAACTAAAATCCTAGCCCTAGTATAAAGGAATACGTATTATAATACTATTAGTTAAGTAGTAAGGATAGCTAAAGGTACTATACTATATATATTATATTCTTCTTATTATAAGACTAAAGCTTATAAAAAGATAGATTTCTCCTCTTTAGTTAAAGTAGTAAGTAGTCTATAACTTATAAGTAAGGTAAGTACGATTCCTTATTAATACCTTACTAATACCTTAGTACTATATACCTAAGTACTTTATTAGCCTATACCTCTTAGTAGCGCTCTTATACCTAGGTACTAAAAAGTAGTAGACTAAGCTATCCTTTATTTTTATTTAATAAGATTATATAGTTTATACTTAAAAAGGTAAGAAAGGAAGAAATTAGCTACTAAAATCTTCCTTTATTTAAGCGATTTATCTTTAATAGATAATTCCTTATATAAAAAGAGCTTATAAGGGTATATTATATCCCTTTTTAAAGGAACTATTATTTAAAAGGCTTTAAAGTAAGCTACTATTATAACTTTAAGTATAAAGGTAAAGCTACTAGCTCTTTTAAAAGCTTTAAAGGAAGCTATTTTTCTTAGCCGGCTATTAATAGCTCTATAACTATATATTCCGACCCTATTATTTATAGAATATAATAATATATAGACTATATAAATTTTAATAGAAAACGTAAAGCTATTAACCTAGCTATAATATATCGATATCTATTAGTATTAGTTATACTAAGAGGTTTAAAGGGGACTTATTTCTATTTATTAAGTTTTAATAGTATCGATAAAAGTAAACGGTCTTATAAAGCCCTTATTAAAGTAAAAGCTAGCTATCTTTTTATAGTAAATTAAGCTAAAAGACGTCTATAAAAAGCTATCCTTAAAGGCCTACCTTAAGAGTCTATAAAAGGAGCTAATAGCCTATATAAGAAGGTAACGTCTATAGCTAAAAAAAGGAAGAGGTCTTCCCTTTAAAGAGCCCCCTATTTAATTAGGGTTCTCCCTTTTAAGAAGGCCCCCTTTCTTATAAGACTTTCCCCTCTTTAAGCCCCTATTCCTTAAGTAGGTCTAAAAGAGCTTAGGGACCTAAAAGGGCCCTTATATTCCTTAAGTAAAGGAATAAATATAAAGCTAAGAACCTCCTTTATATACTTACTAGCCTAAAGCTATATTAGCTATGCCCTTACTATAGGGGTAGGCTATAGCTAAGGGGGTATATTATAAAGCGTAGCTTAATTTTATAGTTCTTAGAGATATCCCTTAGTAAGAAGGGACTAAGAAAGCTAAAAAATAGGTTTTAAGGAAGGAGCTAAAAGAAGGTATAAAGAGGAAGGTAGGGGTAAGAGGGGAAGTAAAAGTAGCGATAGCTTCTTATAAAGGTAGCGAGAGATAAGACGGATATACTAGTAATAGCTAGAAAGGAGGGAAAAAACTAGTAAAAAGCTTAGTAGTTAAAAGGATATTAGTAGCTTCTTTAAGTAGGATCTTCTTTATTAATTAAGATACTAGATAGGTATAAAGAGGGGCGTTAGATAAAGGAAAGAAGGATAATAAAGGCAATATAATAATTACTCCCCTACTATAATTACTGCCCCTATAAGATTTAAATATCTCTGCCTTACCTATCCGACCCCTTTCTTCTAATTTTACCTTCGTGCATTTTATATATACTTCTCGTATCTCTCTTCGCGAGAACTCGGGTTACTCTTTAATAGGCAAAACGACGGGAAGAAAAGGATAAGCCTATTAGATAATACGATGCTTTTAAAGAGAAGGAAGAGGAGGAAATAGTAGAGTCGCTCGTAAAAAATAAGGGGAAAGAAGTAATCGGGGATAGTATTACTATTATAGCGGATTAGTTACCTATAAAGTATTATAAAAGTTAATGTAATTTATTATTACTATAACGCTAGAGGCGTTGCTAGACGTAATTATAAATAGGTTATAAATAATCTTATACTATTCCCGTTCTTTAGATAGCTATAGTCTATTATTAGAAACTTAAAGCCTAAATTAGCGGGTAGGCGATATCGGAGGACGCTGTAGCTGAATGTAGGGGGGTGCGTGCGAATTAAGAGTAAGGTAGGTGCGTGCGGATAGAGTCTCTGTTAAGGAGAGTAGGCATAAGAGGCCACAGTCATGCCTAGTAGACCCAATAGTCATGCACAAGGAAGCCTGCCTGACTAACATGACTCTACTAGCCTAAGGACATTATGCAGGCTTGACTTAGGTATAGGAACATCTTAATGCCCTCTTTTAGCTAGCTATATATAGTCACTGTACCTATATAAGCCCCTCTCTTGTCCTAATAGATAGACTAAACTAAATTTACCTTTCTATGCCCCTATTTCTTCCACTGTGCTCTCAAGCCCCTGCTTAAGAGTCTCTCTTAATTGTAAAATGAGGCACGCTAAGTTTTAGGCCTGATTTATAACGCATTAAGGCAAAAAAGCTTATAAGAGTGGCTTGTTATGATATGTGGACTAGGCGGGATTCAGGGCCACCCCTAGCTGACTTACTCGAGCCCTACTATGAAAGCTTCTTAAGCCACGGCTTGGCATTAATTGATAGACCTAAAGGGCGGCGACTTTCCAAACCTCCCTTTGCAAGGCCCCCCTCATGTGGTTTCAGGATTCGACATGGGATTTATTATATATATATCGGTGCTTCAAAGAACAGCACACAGTTTCTCTATAACGAGTTCTGCTTTTAACACTCGGGAGTCATGATGAAAGCCGGTCTCAAGTCTTCTTTGATCAAGTCGCCTGTCTCCTTTAATCAAGTCGCCTGTCTCCTTGCAGCGCTTATTACAACAGCAGTTATTGCCTTCTCTTTATGGGACCCTCTACGCAAGTTTACGCCATTTGCTAATTCTCCGTTTCCTACGCCGACGCCTAAGACTTTTACGCATAAATCAGCCACGCCTAGCAGCTCTGCCATCCTATCGCTTAGCCAGCGCCTCTCTTCTCCTAACGGTGCCTATTCTCTTACTCTTAAGCATAGCGGAGATCTTATCCTCGAGCATAGCAATGGCCGCGATAGCCGTCGGGTATGGTGGACGGCAACGGGTGATAACCGGATGGCGGATAGCCGTAGCGTTAACATGACAATAAGCAGCAGTGGCCATTATCAACTCCTGGTGCAGGCACTATTTACAGGGGAGCAAGATTGGACAACTTTGTGGCATAGCGACATGCATCCTGATTGCCAGAAGCAGGACCTTGCAAGGTTGCCCGGGAACCAGGACGAGGAAGGAGAGAAAGAAGTCGGCTTGCTAGAGCTCTCCGATTCTGGGAGGCTACGCATTACCGGCATATGCGATTTATACGTGCCACCGAGCGAGCACCAAGCCAACCGCAGCCTTGCAGTGATTGTTGCCGGCCTATACCGTACAAACGCGGAATGCTGCAGGACGCAGATGCAAGCTCTCATCGCCAACCACGGTGCCTTTGCCCGCGTCGACGTCTTCGCCTATATGCTATACACCGACGACGATATTAATATACACAACCGCTCGCGAGATAGCATCGAGGCTGCTGTCCGCGAGTGCTACGGGCCCCACCTTCGCCGCGTCGAGGTCTATAGCCATTCCGAGATCGAGGAGGACTTCCCGGGTGGCGAGACGGCTATGCTGGAACCCTGCGGCTCTAAGCTTCGGCGGCTAAACAACCAGCTTAAGACGGTGGACCAAGCCGGAAGATTATGGCGCCAATGGGCTATAGAGAACGGATTTATGCACGACACGGTCCTACGCCTTCGACCTGATACCGGCTTTAGGAGCCCCGCCGACCCGCCTTTCTGGAGCGTCGAGGAGCTAGGGACAAGTAATCTCGTGCTGCCGCATCCAGCAGGCATGCATTACTATTACTGTCCTCGAATGAGTGGCAGGGTCGGCGTCGGTAAGTCGTATAGCCATCCTTCTCTTTCTCCGGCGCTTCAAGTATATGATAGGGGGGCTCGACCCTACATGGCTGTGTGACATGTCATACGCCCCTAGGATCTAACTAGTCTGTATGTTAGGCTCGACCGACCAGATCGCCTATGGTAGCCCAGCCGCCATGGGCCACTGGCTTTCCATGTACCAGGGCTTTGCCGAGATGGTAGGCTTAGCCTCAAATCCATCGCGGCCCGCATATCGCGACTTCTCCGGGTGCGAGGCACTTCCGACGGGCCCGAACCCGGGGGATTGCGCCGACCCTGCCCCATGCTCCATCGAATGCCTTGTGGCCTGGTATCTGGAGAGCCGCGGCATATCTTTCGGTGTCGAGTGGGGTTGGAACGAGGACTTGGTGCGTTAACATAGACTTGAACGCTGCTTGATTTAATCTACTATAATGTAAGGGGCTTGGTTGTAGTTTGTTTTGACATAGAATGTACGTACAAGGTGTATCAACCATCTGATCGTCTGCAAAAGGATATATATGTTGGTAGGCCTGTGCAATTGCATTTGGGGTTAACCGGTGTGTATGTATTCGTCTTCTATTCTCTAGTTTAGCTAGGAGGCCATCGCGGAGGCTGATACTGTCGTGAAGAACGTCCCTCGGTTGAGTCACCCAGGTCACCCATAGGTAGCTAGGCTAACAAGGGAGCTGACAACCGGGTCTAACGAGAAGGCTAGAAAGCTCCTATTAAAAGAGGCCCTGACTAGAGAGTATATACGTAGCCCTAACTAGAGAGCATACACGTATAGATAGGGAGCTCTTAAGCAGGGGCTTGAGAGCATAGTAGAAGAAATAGGGGCATAGAAAGGTAAATTTAGTAATATATATATTAGTCTATCTATTAGGATAAGAGAGGGGCTTATATAGGTATAGTAGCTATATATAGCTAGCTAAAAGAGGGCATTAAGATATTCCTATGCCTAAGTTAAGCTAGGGGAGTTATATTAGTTAGGCAGGCTTCCTTATATATAACTATTAGGTCTACTAGGTATAACTATAGCCTCTTATACTTACTCTCCTTAATATACCCCCTTACTACCTTAGCTTTCTAGATAGTAAGGTAATAGGTAGAGGGGCGTTTAGTTTAATAAATATAAGGCTATTCCGATATTAAATTTCGGCTACTTTATTATTCGTTTAAGGAGGTTATCCTATAATAAGGGAGGCTCCTAATAGTATTCTATAAAAAGAAGGTAAATATAGTAAAAGATAATCTAGTTTAGTAACTAGTACTATATACCTTTTAAGTATATAGTACTAGTTACCCCTCTTACTAAAGAAGGGTTTAAACCTTAGTTAATTAAGGTTATATAACCTACTCTTACCGCTTAATTAGTAGTTAAAGGCTATTACTATTAACCCCCCTTAAAAGGGACGTAGCTACTATAGGGCTAGGTAAAGAGAATAGTATATAAAGGATAAAAGCTAGGACCTAAGGGAGATAATATAAGGAGAAGCCCTTTATTTCCTCTCTACTTAGGTCCCTAAGTTTATTACCCGCGCCCCCCCTAAGGCATAGTTATATAACCTACTCTTTAGCCTTAATAGGAGTCGAACTTATAATTAATAGGGTTATATAACCTACTCTTACCGTTTAACTAGTAGTTATAAGTTATATTTATAACCTTCCTTATAAGAAGGGGTATAGTAGGGCATCCCTTTAAATAGCCTAGGTACTATAGTACTTTTATTAGTAACGTTATCCTTTAAGATAATAGTAATCTTAAAGGTAGGCTTTTTAATAATATATTGCTTATATTAATTAGTCTTAATTTAGTAAAGCTATCGTAATTATTATAAGTTTAAGCGCTATAGTATTATACTAATTAAGGGGTAGTTTAGTAATAGCTTTACTTCTTAATAGTAAGTAGCGCTAACCTCTACCTACTAGATTTTTATAGTTTCTTAACTAAATTAAGATCTAACTATATTATTAGAATCCTTTAATCTTAGTAAATATAGTAGTACTCTTATTATTAGGATCTAGGGATTATCGAGCTCGCTATAGTAAGGAGAAATTACGCTATAATATAGTAGTTAAGCCTATCCGACCCCTTACTTTTAATTTTACCTTTATATATTTTTATATACTTCTTATATCTCTCTTTATAAGAGTTATAAGCCTAGGAGGAATAGAATTCTTATACCTTCTAGCTACTATAAAAGGCACCTTTCTTATATCCTTTATAGCTTCCTTTTACCCCTCTTACTAGAAAAGCCGATTTTTAACCGACTTTTCTACCCCCTCTTTTATAACGATATCGAAAAACGACTCCTTGACCGCCCCTATAGTCTATAGGACGATTCTTATAGAGCCCTAAGATTAAGATAAGTAGGTAAAGGAGCTACGGGCTTATATAGATAGAACTATTTATAATTTAGTCTTCTTTAATAAGTAGGACCTTCTTAAGCCCCTTTTTTATCCTAGGGTAAAGGAATTTATAAAAGGAGCTTCCTTCTTCTCTAAGCTAACCTCTATATAGTAGAGAGCTTTTTCTACTACCTTAGGTAACTATAAAAGTTACCGTAAGGAATACCTTTATAAGATAAAGCTACTAACTACTACTTATATAGCAATAACGGAATCTATTAGTACCGTAAAGCTAATCTCTCTTTAAGAGGAAGAGACCCTTAAGTAGTAGCTTTTAAAGATTAAGATATTAATAGCTCTATTAAGGGGCTATATAACTAACTATATTAAGAAGACCTATATAGTATACCTAGGAGCCTTTTTTACTAGGAACTTACTAGCTTTTTTATAGCTAGCTAAGTAAGAAGAAATCCTCGAAGAAGCTAACTAATACTTCCTTATAGAAGTTCTTTCTAGCTAGTAGCTATAGGATATATCTCTACTAATAAAGCCTATTAGTAACGGTTACTTAACTATCTTTTAAGAAGCTAGCTAGGAACTAAACGAAGAGGCTACTAAAGTATAATAGTAAGTAGTCTTATTCTTTTATAGCTAGTACTCGACCTCGATAGTTTAACCGGCTGCCCTTATAGCTACTATAGCCCCTATTACTACGGCCCCTACTACTACTACTATAGCTGCTGCCCCTCTAGCTCCTCCTCCCTTAAGAGCCTTAACCTTGTCTTTAACGGCTGCTTTAGTCCCGGCCCTAGCTCCGCCTTTTACTCTAGGCCCGGTCCCGTTAGTTAGACCGGCCCGACTAGTCCCTTAATAGACCTATTAGTCCGTTAGTCGAAAATTTAAGGAACTAGTTAAAATCGCACCTTATTAAAATTAGTAATAAGGGGTAAAAGGGGGGGGTTTTTAAGTAGACCTTTTAAACTAAGATAAGGATTCCTCGAAAAGATAAAAGACTAAATAAAACAGCTGCTTAGCCTTTAAATCCCTAGGCTATCGGTTATTATAATACTAGTAAGTCTTTAAGAAAACCGACCTAAAGGAGTTAACCCTTTAAAGAAGCTATAAGAAATAATATAATAGTCTTTTAAGGAGGACCCCTTATTATAGAAGAAGATAAACGAGATTTAGGTTACTAAGTAATAGTAACTAACGCCGCTGCCCTTATTTAAGCCGTAAATTTAAGGAAAAATCGTTAGTATAGTAAATCCGGCCTTTATTTTCCCTATAAATTAATAAGGCTAAGACTAACTATTAAAGCCCTTTAATTATCCCCTACGAAAATTAGCTATCCTTAACTCTAGTACTTCCCTTAATATCTATAATATACTCTTACGATTTTAGTCTTTTAAGAAGGTATAAAGGGAATATCTTATTACTAGGGAATTAACCGTATAGATAGAGGGATATAAAAGGGTGAATTTTAAGATAAAATTTCTTAATAGGTCTATATAAATTATTCGATAAAAAAAGGTAGCTTTTTACCCTTAATTTTAAATAAGCTTAATTTCCTTTTACTTTCTTTAAGGGGAAGGAATCTTTTAGTATATAACGACTAAGCTTATAAGGCTAGTCTAGAAGAATTAAACGATTAAGCTTATCGAGGAAAAGTTCAGTTAATTTATTCTTAAATTCCGACCTATCCTTAGGAAGGAATCTCTAAAGAAGTTAGCTTTCCCTACTAAGAGGAATAGGTTTACTATAAAGGACCTTCTTTTAATAGCCTAAGGAGACGGTCTTTTTTAGTATATACGACTTAGTTACTTAGGCCCCTTAGCTTTATATAAGTTAGGCTAATAATAAGGCGTTTAAATTAAGGGCTTAAAGACTATTAAATATAAATACTATAGCTAAGGAAAGACTAAGAGACGAATTTCTAAACGAACCCCTTTATAGCTAGACTAGCTATATAAGGAAATTTAGGTTAACTAGACTAATATCTCTAAGGACTAAGAAAGCTTCGTAAAAGTAATGTTTTTTATAGACGCTTTTTTAAGGATAGTTTTCCCTTATTTCTTATAGACCTACCTAAGTAAGTATAACTAGTCTACCCTTTAAGACTTTATTTACTAAATAAAATCCTACTTCGGCTATAAGGTAAAGAAGATATAGTTTAATAGAGAGCTATTTATAAATAATATCTTAAATTAACTTTAAAAAGGGGTATTTTAGTACTAAATACCTAAGCTTAGAATAAAGGGGTAGAAAGATTAAGGGGTACTATAATAAAAAGGGCTTATATAATAAGACTTAGTATAAAGCTTCCCTATAACCTTTAAAAGGAAGTCGTTAAGACTACTTATTACCTTTAAAACTAGACCCTTAAGGACCCTAAGGACCCTAAGGAACTAAACTAAGGAATAAACTAAAAATTACCCCTTAAGCTCTTTATAAAAAAGAAGGCCTTACTAGCCTACCTTTATACTTATAGCTATAAAGCATACGCTATAACTACTAATATATAGCTAAAAAGGAAGAAAAAAAGAAAGCTTAATCCTAGAGCCTTTATTAGTTACCTTATTAGCTATAATTCTACGAATATCTTCTAGATCTAGATTCCTCTTTTATAGAAGGGTATTTTAACTAAGGATATAATTTTTAACGAATCTAGTTTTTTTTAAAAGAAAGAGGGATTAATAGCCCTTCTTACTCTTATAACGTTAGCTAATTTAGAAAATCTAAATCCCCCTTTCTTAATAGTCTTAAGAAGAGGTCTTAGATAAGAAAATAAAAGAAGAAACTAACGTCGAAGTAGTTAAGGATAACGCTAACTTTAAGAAAGAAGAAGCTATTAAATTAGATAATTTAGATAAAGAAGGAAACTATAGGAAAGCAGTAAAGCTAAAATACGCTTACCTCCTTACGCCTCCTTTTATATAAGAAGAAGATCTAAAAGTAGCTTTTTTAGTTAGTCTTTCTATCTTAACTATTAAATAGGTAGGAAAGGTACCTCTTTTAAAGGATTACCTAGCTACCTTTTTATCCTTAC